TTCTATATAAATTCTATATAAAAAAAGTTCTATAGTAATTGTTGTAGTTCTATAGAAAATAAAAATGTTTCTAAAGAAACTCTATAAAATTTTGTTTTTCTATACAAATACTCTATGTAAATTCTATAAATTTTTCTTAGAATTTTTTTTTTTCTACAAAATTTCTTTAGAGGTTCTAAGAACACTCTATAGAACTCTATCGGAGTTCTTCAGGATTTCTATTTAAACTACATCAAAACATCTTTAGCTACCTTGTAGAAAATCTATTAAAACTCTATAAAGCTGGTTTAGAAAATCATATAGAATTAGCCTATAGAAAAGCTGTAGAAATTTTATAGAATGGTTTCTTTAGAAATTCTATACATTATTTTCCTACGGGTTATCTCGTACTTACATTCTCAGAACTCGCATTCATTACATTGCACAGATATCGTTCATGAAAATACAAGTAGAACTAACCATTACTGGCAACCTTGCTAATGTCCAGTCCAGCGTCATGGGCCATGAAACCAATGACAGAAAAAATGACAAACCCAGCAAATATGCTGGTACCGCAGTTGGTGAAAGCGACGATTAATGCGTCCCGATGGCAGTTGTTGTGGAACTTGTTGTAGCTGGACAACGTGTGGAGGCTTCCCCATGCAACACCGAGAGAGTAAAAAATTTGCGAAGCAGCATCCTTCCACACCTAAAGTAATGGCAATTTGTTTTGTTTATTTAACAATCATAACATTATTGTATATACATGTCATATCTTTTAACACTGTACTATGATACAGCTTTAGTTTATAATGTGGAACGGAACTTTTTTTTCTTTAAAATTGTTCTCTAAATTCCCCCGCCAAATAAGTAAAATCTCCTCCGAGGTCGTGGTATTACCTTTGGATCCTTTAGAAGTGTGAAATTTGGCTTTACAAAGTACAGTATACCATCAAATGCACCAGGTAGTGTAATCCCACGAAAGAACAATATTAAAAGTACTATATATGGGAAAGTAGCTGTAAAGTACACAACCTGAAATAAAAATTATAAAAAAAAGAACTTGTTATCTGAACAGACACAAACATTGTTACAGCAGATTAAGTTTTTCTATGATCTCGTGTGGCACACAGCATAACACAATGGATATTGCTTGATACACTTCTTAGTTTTAAAAGAACACATTTTATAAGACCACTAAGGCTAAAACTGTTTATAAAATAAAAACAAATTGAAGCCGAGGTAAAATTTCAAATGCGGTTTTTATTTAAAAAAACTAGAAACCCAATAAAAATTATTTTGGTATGACATATAATACCCTCTATAAACCTGCTTCTCAAACTTTTTAAAGTGGCTACCTATTTTCAGAATCTCTATTCTTTGGCGACCCAAGGCATATACAATAATTGCCATCAGTGGCGTAGGTATGGTCACTAGGCCTGGTGCGACAGATCTAAAAACTTAGAAAATTCCTACCTAAATTTCAAAATGACCTTACAATGATATTAGGTTTTAGAGGCAAGTATTAATGATTAAATTCATACATCTTACGTGCCATCAACACTGCAAGTAGGATGATCCTTTAACTTCTTTCATTATGGTATAACATATGCTCCGTACCACGGTACGATGCACTAATAAAATACTGTTTGAAATCATATTTCTATTAGCAATTCAAATGTCGGCACGCAGGGTTTTGTTTGATATTTTAAAGTTCGTTCAACTATATTTTTCATGTTTTTAAATCACGTCAAGTGATCATACTTCACGAATTTTACTTTTTACTGGAAGTGGGTGATATTTGCTCTATTGTTTCCGATATCATACTCTTTTCGGGCACTTCAAAGGACCCCGCCTAAATGTACTCAGGAATGATGGTCAGAAAGAAATTTTACATCCGTCTCTCCGGCAATTATCTTGCACTGGGTCCAGTCACCACGTCCTCGCTATGCTACTGATTTTCATACCACATACGCTATTGTCATGTTTACTTAGCCTTACTTTACTTGCTACAAGCTCAAGAAAATGATGCTATCGTTTTCTAACATATTGCTTTGTTTTTCTTTTAGAAAGCTATGTTTTGTAATTTATGAATACAGATATGTTATTGAATTTCGGCAGTCAACCTTGGCTAAGTCGAATACAAAGACGTCACTGTGATAAACCATTTCTATTTTTATTTACTCAGCAAAGTGCACGATACATTTGTAATCGCCAATCATGTATGGAATTTTCCTTTTAACGGTATGGAGTATATGTATTACACTCGCAATTTTGAAATGTTTAATGTAAAACATTGAAGAATTTTCGGTTTATGCCGTAAAATGAGCGAGGTTGACTGGGTAAAAAAAAATTGAAATATGAAGTTTGTACGTCCCCACTCCCTTGCAAAAGACTCAAACGATCATTTTAAACAAGATGTAACTTATTTATTTTTAACTGTTGTGTCGTGTTAATTTAAGATATGTTCTTGCTTAATTTTAATAATCTTATCAATCCTTGGAGAGATTGGCGACAGTGCAACCATGAGAGTAAATTTTAGGTTTTGGGTTGACATTGAATTTCAAGCTTTCGTCTTCTTCGTACGTAGCTACGGCTGGGTGTATCTCTCGAGACTGTATTATTTTTAGTCTATGTTTAATTAAAACTTGAAGCAGTCTTGCGACCCTCAGAAATGTTTTGGCGACCCTAATTTGAGTCGCGACCCATAGTTTAAAAAGAAGGGCATAATACAGTAGAGTAATATTATCTGGTGTACAATATTAATGTTCTACCTTTGAAAAATGTGTAATAATATAATAAGAACAAAATATTAAAAGTATTTTGAGCCTAAAATTGGGAAAAAAAATTAGAACACTGTGGCTGGGCAAACTTTTACTGGTTCTTATATATATAAAAGTATATATGAAGAGGAAACATCAAAACTCAGAGAAGGCGACAGTCCAAAATTGCTTCCGGAAACTAGTTATTTTATCAATAACACGTTATATCGTCACAAGCAAAAATCATTATGTCTTTTGATTGACATAATAAACTGGTTTTGGCCAGTTAAAATCCTGTACTCAAGGCTGTTGTGTTATACAAATAACATCATATTCAATCTAGTCAGAAATCTAGACAACTATAATGCCTTGACACCAATTCATTATTATGACATCCACGATTTTAACCGTAAGTGAAGGTTACAGTCAATTTTTACCATTACAATTGCATTCGACTTTTTATTTGTAGGCAATATGTTGGAGATATGATATGGCAATTAAGGTCAGTAAAATGACCATCAATTTCTTTCGATAACTTCTAGCTGTTTTATCTAGCAAACAACATCGTATTGTATCAGAAATGTATACATTCGCACTTTATATTATTCCGGTATCTACAGGTTAAAGCACGATTTTAGCTATTAGTGAAAATTCCAATCGATTATTCAGTGTTTACCATTAAAGTTGTATTTTTTTTTTGTAAGCAAAAATGATTATATAGAACAATTATATGGCAAGTATGTACAGTAAAATGATAATTAACATTTACCTCTGTAATTATATTTTTCATGAACGTCCCTAATGCACAATGTATTTATTAATTTGATATTTAATTTGTCTAGAAATTATATTTTTAATAAAAGTTTCTATTATAAAACACTTACTGTATGTATTTGAGGTCAGTTAGTTCAAGAGAATACAACAATTTAAGAGTAGTTAAAAACAAATATTATTTACTTTTGAAACTATAATTACGTTTATAATGGCGAAGGGACCCTTAGGGGCGAAGAAAGTCATTGATCGAGTTCCTAGTAGTCTACATATCAAGTGCCCTGAGCATCTTACATTAGATGGATGTGTGCGCTGTATAAAACCACATTATTATTATTATTATAATTATAATAATAATAATAATTATTATTATTATTCTAATAGTACAATACATATTATTTATATCTGTGAAGTTATATAATAAATAATTAATGGTCAGTGAAAATGATAATCGATTATGGTGCTTGAAAATTGTAGGTCTACTTCTAATAATTTTTTTTTTCTGATTTGTATCTGAGTTGTGTGGTAAGTTAGAATAATAATTCATTACCTTTTGATATTGTATTTATAAACGTCAACGTTCCTAATTCCAAATTCTTACTAGAGGTAGCTTGTTTGTGAATGTCATTCAATAACCTGTAGCGTTTGACTATTCGAGTAAAGGTTTTTTGAACAGTTTTGCAAACAATTATTGGTGGCTATTAAGGACCATGTTAATACTGCAGATATGTGTCTACGTTGTTATTAAATATATGAATTAATATGTTATTGAACACTAAAAATCAGTGAAAAACAAATAAAACGGGTAGCACCTTGTCCTTTATTCCAACATATCTAACTAACAATCACAATACCTTTCCAGATGACTTCACACCCTTTGCGATACAGAGGAAAACGACAATCCATGCCAGCAGAAGACACAAACACAGATCCCATCGTACACTTCCGAGTTCCTCAATCCCAGATGAACGATGAAGGACACGTTTACTAAAAAAAGAAAAAAGAAACCCACAGGGTTCTGTAAGTTTAATTCTTAAACTGAATAACAATTTCGTATGAATTGTATGGTAGGCCTGTGCAGGGGCGGATCTAGAGATGGCCGAAGGTGGAGCCGATCGATACAACACTATCCTAGGGGGTCTGTGGCATTCCCCCTTGAAATTTGTGTTTTTTAGACGCCCGAAAACAACCTCTAAGGCAATTTTGGCGATCAATTGTTTCTTTTTCTTTAGTTCTTTTTTTCTTACTTTCCAAAAGGTTTGGGGGCGGGCCGCACCCCCACTCCCTAAATACGTCCTTGCTATGGGAGGAACTTTGCCATAGTGAATTGTATTTCCTCTACAGTTGATAGTTACTTTAGAATTAAAAATAATTATCATCATTATCATTATTGTCATTATTATAATCATTATCATTTTATTATCATTTTTATGCATATACCGGTATTTATTTCTGCATCGATGTGATCTATGGATAAAGCTTAAAAAGTAAATGTGAGATTAGCATTGCTACTGAAACTATACAATTATAGAAATTAATATAATACAAAAAAATAATTAGGGTAAAATTCAGAAACTTACTTCCAATATTCTATGCTGGGGCGTACAGAATCGTTAGAATGCGTGTGGGTGCCATTTTCGTTTATCAAGGTCCCATTCAGAGAACATAGGTCAGTATTCCACTCATGCCCGCAAGTGGCCCACGGAAGTTCGGACGTCATCGAGGCGAAGAGATAGAAAATGATGTAGGCGATGATGGTGTTGTAATAACAACATACCATAGCGGTAATAATGGTCATCCCCCATCCTAGACCTAGGGTGGGAAAATCAATATGTTAAAATCTCCGAAGTTAAACGTTTTTGGGGGGCTGTAGAGGTAAATATGACTAACACGTGTGCTCGTGTTAAATTGCTTGTATGTCAACAAAAAATACTCGACAACCACAATACTCTTTTCAAATATCAATTCAGAATTAATATAAACTGTAAATATTATAATATATTTAAAATCATAAGACAAGCTGGCATGGATTAACCTCTTCTATACATGTATTATCAATTATCATATACTGTGTGAACCAGCAACAAAGACCCGATAACCCTAGCCAATAGAATTACATTTTTCAGCATATTTATGGTTTCATTATTTGTATCATTATTAATTTGTAAAGTACAACATGTCCTTGGCCATGTGTATTCACATAATAAATCTTTATTCTATAAACTATCATACAATCTAAACAAATCTTAAGATATTTTCTGTTACAGCAAACGAAAAACAGTTAAATCAAAACGTGTCAGTACATTCAAATTATATTGTTTAAAGTGTTGCGTTTATAGTTTTTTTTTTAATGAAGGTACAAAACCCTCTTTCATTATAAATTATCTCTCCCATTTCTTCCCATCATATTAACCCTTGTCTTTTATTTAACCACTCCAACTAGGGTCCGCACATACGATTATATTTACACAATACTACTAAGGACTTATCTCTGCGATGCCAGCTACGTTGTCTCTTGTCGATGAGTCGTCGACTTGGTAGTACACGCTCCCTCTGATGCGTCAACTAGTCTAGTTAAATACTGAACACGACGATCTTTCGTGTCTCCGTACGGTACGCTTAGTACATTTTTATATGTTTAAAATTGTTTCTTGTTATTTATAATGTATTACATTTTTATTATTGTTTCCCACTCTAACTCAAATTTACTTAAATTGAAGTTCAATAACTTAAAATTGTCATATTGGTGAAAAATTATTGAGATATTTTTTAATCATTTTTCTGACAGCTCTGACTCAACTATTCTAACACTGATTAAAAAAACTGGCAAATAAAACAATCATCACTTGAATCGAATATATACCTCTGTTTGGAAAAAAAATGGTACAGCCCGGTCGGTTTTATTAAAGGTCTAAAACGTATAAATATTAAAGAAATTTGTATCACTCGCCATCCAACTTTTATTGCTGACAACTGATACGATATTACATAAGAATCTTTGGTAGAAAAATTCGGAAACATCAACCATTTTTTTTTCTTTCGAGAAACAGAAGGTAAAAGTCGTATCCAAACAATCGTATTACAATATTATCATTATTTAAAATAAAGGATATAAAACCTCTTGCAACTATTTTAACGCAAGTTCATCATCACTAAAATTGTACAACGCTTACAATATTATTGGAAGGTCCACTGATTAATCTCAGATAAGAAAGTATAATACTGTACATACTCCAAGTATTAAAATCCCAACACGATGGCGTGCATTTGAATACTTGGCGTATGTATTATACATTCTTACAATCGCCAAAATCATTTTCAACCAGCTCTTTCGATCAGAACTCAAAAATTTACATCAGCTATATATAAAACGCAAGAGAGGAACGTTTCTTTCAAATACATAACATAGTGATTCTTAAAAGAACACACATTTGCCTAAGATATTAATTTCGTACCGCTAAGACTCGGCCTTTGTACAAAGCTAAGTCGTCCGTAGCAGCTAGATCACACCTCGCAGAAAACTGTATAGTAAACTTGGAGAGGAAAGGAATAATTAGAGACAATAAAAAACAAATGATGAAATAGAGAGTTAGCCTGAAAAAAGGTACCTGAAACAGGCTTCAGTATTTTGTATTCTCTGTTTTCAATATAAAAAAATGATCAGCTTCTCAATTAACAAACCAATAGAGAATCATTATTGAAGAAAAAAAAATCTACTATAAGGGACAGTATGTATATTATACACATTATTTTAGGGACAATTTTGTCTTTCAATTCCAATGTACCTTTAAAGTCATGGAATGAGCGATCTTGTCTAAGATAGGCCTAATTTCAAACGATTAAGAAAAATATAGGCCTACAGGCCTCTTAAATAAATTTGTAATATTACAAAAAATACATCGGCATATTAAAATGAGTTTATTAATTAAGTTTAAAAAGCTTTTTATCTAGAAATAATAAATAGGCCAAAAAAAAAATAGACTCAGTGTGTTTGTGTAAGCGACATACGAGAACATTGAGGAATATTAGAAATAAAATTGAATTGAACAAGCATTTGTACAGCATTATCCAGTTTTTATAACCATCGTGCAAATAACGGTTCAGTGATAATTACGAGGATGGTTTCATAACAATCCTCATGGAAAAATTTTGAACAAAGAAAAAAGTAACATTTCGATACCAAGACTAGAAAGCTTGATAATTCAAGCTAAGAATTTCAAATAATGGATGTCAATAAAGACAAAATTGTATGTAGGCCTACTAAATTGAAATACGTAAAGATATAAAAAAAATTGTTGGAAACTGTGTTCTCCAAAATCAAACTGGATAATGAAGTACAAACTGAATTAAATGAAATTGTTACATTTTCTTTAATCTGATTCCTCGATCTTACCTTTGAAAATTGGACTAATTTTCCAGATGCTTATAGCTCCCAAGCTTGCGAATTGTCCAAAAGACAACTCCAGAAAAAATAAAGGCAACCCAGCACACAGCAACATGATGATGTACGGGAACAAAAATGCACCTAAACGCAGAAATAGGTATGGTAAATGAATATTTGAGAGGTTTTATGGTGTCCTGTTACATTTTCTTCACAATTATTCGCCCACATCATCTTCTTTTTCTTTAATGGTATCAAAGGTTGGAACGACATTCCCATTTCAATACAAGGCATAAATAATAACAACAATTTTAAAAGTGGAATAAGAAATCATTTGGGAAATGAGATACGGCAGTAATTTAATGCTGTTTAGGGCTGAATCTGTAAGATTTTCTTCAATTCAATCATAATGTCTTCACAAATTTTAAATTTCAAATTGTCACTATTCCTAGCATCTCAATAATGATAATAATAATAATTTAAAAGTGCAATAAAATTATAATAATGGCAATAATAAGAATGCCTTCACAACTTTTTTAATTTTAAGTTTTCATCATTCTTATCATCATTTTAATAATAATAATAAAGCATTAAAATGTAATTTTAAATAATACTATATGAGCTCAGGTACTGGATCTGCTTTTGTATAGGCGGATTAATATAGGTCTTGTTAGGGTCAAAAGTTTTTGTATGCCATGAGTTCTCCACACTTGGGATCCATATATGATTGAACATGACTTCAATACGGTAGAGGTTTGTTTTAATTTTTGTCATAATAATAATAATAATAATAATAATAATAATAATAATAAAAATAATAATAATAATTCAAATATGCAATAGGAAATTTGGGTAAACAATTACAAGTTTAAATAGTGCAATGTTTGAAATAAGAATGCCTAAATCTTTTATTATATTACGTTTTTCATGTTTTAATCTTTTACATTATAATCAATTTAGGCATTATTATTAATTGTTTTATTATATGTTTGTTTTTACGTCGTAAAAACTGTTTAAACTTTGTCTAAGGGTCCTAATGGAAATAAGTTGTTTTATATTTTTAAACTTTCTTCTTGGGTTACCATAAGAATAAATGTCTTTTTTTCATTGTTCTTAATTTGTTTTATCTGTTCTTTATTTTGTTTTGTACAGTATTCAATATATACCATGTGATTTTAATTCTTGAATAAAATGAAATTAAATGAAACCCTTCATCCATGAATTTACTCTGAACGTGGTCACCACCAGGTTAACACCATGATGTAGTCAATAACTGACTACATTAATAATTGAGCGGGAAAATAAGATAAAATTGTATATTAACCTAAAAAGTACCGACTATACAGTACCTGAGACCAGCTTCATAGTCCTTATATCATCTATTATAAATACGTAGACCTAAAATATAGTTATTAATTGTTAGGGTTCTATTGTTAGGTTTACATGGTTTGTTTGTACTGTCTACTTAACCATACTACATGGAATTACAAGAATAAGATAACAAAAAATGTAGGTCCTAATTGTCGTGCCTTGTGCGTGAACAACGTGTCAATATCATTATTCATATATATATATATGTATATATATATATATATAAAATATATATATACAAATATGGATGAGATCAGATATATACACACCTTAATTATTAGACCTAATAGGATATGAAATTTGTAAGTTTACTTTACTCTTCTAGTACAATATTTGAAACCGTACGGTACTAGAAAAAAATATACCGTAGCAATTAACATAGGCCTATTAAAACTTACATTTTTTCGCAATGTAAAAGCATTTATCTGTTTTTATAAAGTTTATTCAACATTTTTTTATTTACAGCAATGCATACATGAATCATATATTTTGTCTCCTCTTCCCCACCCCCCCCCCCCCCCCCCCCAAACAAAAAAAAAAAATATCTTCTGGTGTATCTACTGTACTGTGCATATCATCCATTACGGAACATGAATATTCTTTGAAGATCGAAGCAGGGAAGTTAATTCAATTTACTTACCTATTAGTAGAATTAAGTAAGGTTTACTCAATGGAATTAATTTAATTAGATAAACATATTTTAACATTGCCTACCTCCGCCGTTGGAGTATGCCAAATATGGAAATCGCCATATGTTTCCTAATCCCACGGCGTATCCGATGCATGATAACATGAAGTCCAGCTTCTTGCCCCAGTTTCCACGAATTGTGTTTTCCTCTTCGTTTCCATTTGACTTTTCGTCAGAGGCGGGTACACTAGCGTAGGACACGGCCTGTCAAATATAAGACATTATTTATATGTCGGAGCGTTCAATGAGGTTTTTTTTTTTTTGTTTTTTTGTTTTTTGTTTTGTTTTTTGGGGTTTTTTTTCAGATAATGAGATGTCGTCAGATAATCTGATGGCGCCAATGTACTGCTGTTGTTTTGTCGTTCCTCTGAATTGAATTGGAACTTTATACTGATATAAAACATAATGTATCCAATTTTATTGTCCATGTGTAGTAGTAGTGAAACCACGTATTACATCAGATTCATTTTATTGTAGGAATAAATACCATTAATGTCAGTGATGACATTAATTATCGACTTCTTGATTGACTTGAAACAGAAAGTATTACTTCTTATATTGTCAATAAAAAACATCAGATTTCCATTGTTTATTACCTAGTATTAATTATCATACAACAAATTTAATAACATTGATCTGAAACATCCATATTTTCCCAGCATTGATTAATGATTATGATGATTGATGATGGTAATTAAAATTGACCATTCTTGACAGACAACATATGCCGCCATTGACAGCATGTGGTATGCTTTTGAAAAAATCCGACTGTACTGTAGTCATAGTCAGGGTGACTTACAAATCGAAATCATTAATTATGTTTAGATTGTCTGGCTTTCTATTGGCATTTTATTACTCTTATTCTTTATCTAGCCATACTCAACTCTTCCTACTATAGTAGAAAATAATATTTAATTCAATAATACGCCTAATTAAATAATGATAATAATAATTTTAATAATAATAATAATAATAATAATAATAATAATAATAATAATAATAATAATAATAATAATAATAATATTAAATAAGAAACTGTGGCTTTCAAGCAGTCGCTCATGTCAGTTTTTCACATCATGGAAAAAAAATAAAATAGATGTGGCACTTGGATATGCCACCAGGATGCCATAAAGGCTGTGCATGCAAAAGGTCGCGAGGTTAAGACCAGATATAATTTGATTTTTTTTTATTAACACATGCATTGTATTATCTTCGATTGGTTTCAGATGCAGTAACAATAACAATAAAAATAACAATAGTAATATTAATATTAATAATAACAATTAGTGAATGTAATAATAATAATAATAATAAAAATAACAATAACAATAATAATAATAATACTAATAATAATAATAATAATAATAATAATAGTAATAATAATAATAATAATAATAATAATAATGATAATAATAAAATCAGAAATCAATTGCCGTAGTATACTGATTTATTGTAAATTCATTTTTAAGTAGGCTTTACATCAAGTCAGAAACAATAATACATTATTATTAAGCACCAGATAAATATTTGTTACAATGCTTTTTCAGGTTTGGATAAAAGGTCTAATGCATGTTTATATTACTGTGAAGAACGTAATTGAGCACGATGAATGCAATGTTGGCATTAAGGAAAATTCTGAAATATATTATACTGATCGATATTATGTGCAGCATTCATTGTTAAATGCTAATGATGCTGAATGTCTATGGGATATCGTGATGATTCAAAAAGTCTATGCTTTGACCTAGGTAGGATACAAATGCATAGCCTCTTTGCGACAAAAACAAATATCAGTAGCTAATACTACAACTGTCGAAGTGAAGTTACGCATGGGTTTGCATTTTTCTAACAAAAAATATCTGACGAACATAATTATTGATTGTTTATATAGGTTAGGCCTGTAGTAACCGGTATAAAAATTAAATAAGTCATGTGATTTCAAAATTTTTCCTCTGTACAAAATACTCATAGAAGACAACAGCAATAAAATACATCTATATTTACATACCTGATATACCCTAACATTAAAAAAAATAAATTTAAAATATGTAATTCCTACATGCCGCCGACATTAGTCTACAGATTTAAAATAAAATAAAAAGAAACTTCCATATAGATATCTCATCTTGACTATTTGTACTCTTACAAAATATTCATTCGTCAGTTTCGTTATTAGACCTACAGTAATGCTCGTTAAGTGAAAAATATAACATTTAAGAACTAAATTCAAAAATCTTTTTCACATTATTTCCAACTTGGTAAAGAAATTAATAGCAAGAAATTGTTAAGGGTAAATATTGAGTACTCGGTGGATGCCTGCAGTACCAGTTTAATTTATTTTATTTATGGAGATTTTTTTTTAAAGGAAACCAGTACCAAGTACCAAGAAGCATTAGTTCATTTAGTGTGACGTGGTCTGTGCTAAAACAACTTGGTTAATGCCAAAAAAAAAACAGATGTTCTTTCTCTATTTTGGAAGTATGCCGACGGCCATGAGCTCCGTTGAAAATGCGATTGACGCAAATGCACACCTGCGGCATTTTTTAATTCATTTAAATTTTCAAATGTTTTTGTAGAGGATTTAGTTACCCTACCACTTTTGGTTTCAGGGTATATTACACTACACAATTAAAACAGATTTTAAAGCAAGGGAAGTTATGCAACCACGGTTTTTGTTTCATATTATAAACTTTGTTCAACTTTATTGTTTTTTTTTTTTTTTTTTATTGTGGGTAACTGTAAATAGTTTAACGGGTTTTTTTTCGCATAGTTCAGGATGCCTTTAAATGCTTTCAGATTTGTTTCTTATAGCAACTGAAATACGGTATCTGTCTCCTCATAATAATAACAATAATAATAATAATAATAATAATAATAATAATAATAATAATTATTATTATTATTATTATTATTATAATCATCATCAATATTATCATTAATATTGTTATTATTATTATTATTATTATTATCATTACTATCGAGTATAATATTATTTTAGGTCATTCAATGCAATTAGTCCTTTTCGTATTTCCTTTTTTTTTCTCTTGCAAAAATATAATAATAAATAAATTTTAGGCTTTTTTATATTGAAATCCAATCATATAATAGCGCCAAATACAAGGAAATTCTTGTAAACAAAATAATGCAGACTTATAAATATATTCTTGATGTTAAACTTTCCTTTATCGTAAAAATAATGTTTCCTATCGTAGAAGAATTGCGGTTGGCGCGCCAAGCAGCAGCTATTACTGATTGACCACTAAGCAAGTTCGATGAATTTGCCGCTACCTCGCCTGAATCAATGCTTTTCATTCAGTGAATATGTGAGAGTCTTACGCAGGCTATTAAATAAACTCAATCTGTTTATCGTACAAACAAAGGCTATCACATTCGTCGCTGTTCCGATTTACTAATAATAGAATAATCTCTTCATCATCTGCAGGTGTCTAGGCGGGACCATAATTTTCGTTTCGGTCACAACTCCGTCTCAAGGTCACAATCATTTGTACTTTAAATATAATAACTAAGTTACAGCATGGCGGAAAACCCGTTTTCTTTATGGATATAGGATGGAGGATAACTCCTAGGTACAGTTCTATCTGCAGTTTAAATTTGAGGCCATTTTAATGTATCCTCACCTTCAATCAAGTGGGAGTTTTTTTTTAAATTCCTATACTAATAACAGCAAACCATCATCTTGTTTTCAGACTTTCCACACAGTGTCTACTATGAAAATATTTTTGAACACTCCTTGGGCATGTTTTATACAAAAGAAAGAGGATAAGACATATGTCCTTATTTACGCCAACGGATGACGACATTCATTCTCACATTATTTAACCTCTAGGCCCGAAGTACTGATGAAGCGATGTGATTATGAGATGGATAAAACAAAGACAAAATTAAAAAAGGATCCTTACCTCTGCTGCCTTAGATTCTGAATTAGATGTCATGTTTACAAACACGTTTTTTTTTTTCTGCTAACTCACTGGAGTAAAAATCTGGTGAATAAAATAGCGCGAATATGAGGTGTATTGGCTTTTGTTAGTCAATAATAATATTTTACGTCTGCTTAGTGACGTCATAGTAAGGCGGGCCTCCTCTGGCCACGTATAGAAAAGGTTCACACATTTTAGAAAAAGGGATGTTTATTTAATATAATTTGTAGAAAAATAATATACACTTTTCATAAGAAATATAAATACTTACAATGCTAAATAAAAATAAAATACACTTTGATATATTTCTGATGTTAATATGAAAAAGAAATAAAAATGAATTAATTTTTAATTTTCATCTAATGGTATAATCTTGAATAATAACACATGACTGGCTGAAAATCCAATCAATGGCAATGGCGTACATTCGGGGTGTAAGACGTGTTGGAAAAAGCCATTGAGTTGACCTGCTGATATTGAAAAATTCTGATTATATTTTTGCAAGAGAAACAAAAAAGGAAATATGAATACTGTTTTGTAATGAAGAAAGACCAATAGCATTGATCGACCTAAAATAATAATATACTAGATAGTAATGACGATGCTGATAATAATAATAATAACAATACTAATAATACTGATGATGATATAATAATAATAATAATAATTATTATTATTATTATTATAATTATGATAATAATGAAATAATTATAGAATGACATTTTTTTTGAATGCAAAATGCCGTTTATTGTCCATAAACATACATATTATATCTAAAGATTTAGATATTGAAATATTCTGATTATATTTTTGCAAGAGAAACAAAAAAGGAAATATGAATACTGTTTTGTAAGGAAGAAAGACCAATAGCATTGATCGACCTATAATAATAATATACTAGATAGTAATGATGATGATGATGATAATAATGAAATAATATAGAATGATTTTTTTTTAATGCAAAATGCCATTTATTGTCCATAAACATACATATTATACCTAAAGTTTTATACATTATACGCCATAATGTTATTGTACACAATATCGAACATAAAAAAAAAATCTTCTCAGAATAATAATCAACATTTAATTTTGTGGATCGGATATTTCTTAATTAATAGATCACAAATGGTTTGGGTAGGGAACACTTGTCTAATACTCTTTTCACTATGGCGTGCTTCAAGTTTGTGTCCTTTCTTCTGTTCTTTTCTCTCACAATCAGAAGTGGAAGTAGCAATGTTTGTTCAATAAAGCTTGCCGACTGGTTTCATTCAGGATATTGTTGAAGAGGAGTTCAGAATACTATTAGGTTGTTTGAATCATGGTGTAGGCCTAAAGAACAGTTTATTATTTTAAATCCAAACAAAACAAAAGAATTTGTTTTTAAGTTTAGGAAGAAGAAAGTGCTATTGGTGATATTATAATGAATTTCAAAGCAATAGAAACTGTTAGAAAACATAAATATTTAGGGACGATCTTAGATAGTGAATTAAATTGGAATGGAACAAGTCTTCCCGGATAAGGACTTTAAACCGTAGGCCCAGTGTACGCATTTGGCTCGTGTGCACTTTAAAGAACCCGGTACACCATTCGAGAAGAGTAGGGGGTTACCCCGGTGTACTGGTCCATTAAGTCCCCTGTTGTTAAATGGATATGTCACGTAGGATAGTGATTAAGTTCACTTATTGGCATATCCTTGGCCCTCGTGCCTAAAGCAATGAAATGAAACACTGTGAAAAAAGCCAAACTGACTTCCTTCAAAGCAAATATTGTAGCGACGTGCTTTTCCATTTTTATCAGAGTGTTATCTTAAGTGTTTTATTTTTTAGTTGTATAGACTGGTATGATAGTCTTAGTGTAAATAATAATAAACTTCATAAAATACCTATAATCACGTCTCAAGTGCGTTTGCCTTTATCATAATTTGAGAAGTATAAGAAAAAAGAACAATTAATTAGATCAATGACGATGAATTTTAGATTTCTATGGTTGCCGAAAATCGCTGAAAAAGGTCATGAAAATGTGTGTGCTTCATTTTGACTATATCTGTATAAATGGTGATGTGATTATAATGAGAGTGAATTTTACTATATAAAAGTGTCATTTCCGGCCATCTAGTCGGGGTACCGTACGTTTCCTGAAATTTTTCCACCTCGGGGTCTGAGGTGGATTTGGATTCACGCGTGTTTTGAAGCACCAGTAAGTAAAGAAAAAGTAAATAGGCCTACATCAAAGACAATGTTTTTCGTTTTATTTTCTATGGTACATCTCACATATTAATTACATCACTATGGTTGCCGAAAATCCCTGATAAAACAACATGAGAAATTTGTTAGCGCTTCATTGTGACTACTATAGTGATGTTATGATGATCAATTTTACTATATAAAAGTGTCATTTCCGGCCACCTAGAGGTACTATTTCCTCCAATTTCCACGAAATATTCCTCGCCTTTCAAAACAGATCTGATGTGTGGCCATTACTAGCTAGATAGACACACTATTTCGCGCGCTAACACAAATATCATTTGATTATTGCAGCGTTTCCGGTTGATAGAACGACAATGATGCCCGAGGGATTCAATAAAGCGTCTGAGGAGCCTTATAAACAAGAACAATATTGCATAGTATAATATAAGTGGTCTGGTATTTCTTGGAGGCTGTTTTCAGATGGATAACCCTATTTTGATTGATTTTACGGTAAATTTATTTGGCATCAACTTTAGCAGTGTAAGGGAGTATTTAAAGAAATAAGTGAATAAAAAAAATAGAGGGCCCGGGATCAAAATGTGCTTCTGTATATCAATGAAATGACCTGAATTAAGAAGTGAGGTTTAATAATTGGTCATTGGCTAGACAACAATCTTGGGCTACAGGGCCTATACTACACTGCAGTAACATATTACAATCCAGATAAATTATAATAGATCTACACTTCCCAATAGATTATTATATGAGATTTTTTTTAATCCCAAATTTTTTGTAATCAGTGTCCAGAAGATGACCCAATAAAGGTCGAAACGTCGAATCATGGCCTCCTTTTCTTTATTCGGAGTAACGTTTGTTCTATATTATGTGAGTACCGGTACTAAATGCGGGTAACTGTAAATGTATATACGAGTTCCATCTTTTATGAAAATGCGGGTGTTTACTTCATTAGACAACAGTGAGGTGTTTCATGTTGTTTTGTATTTTTGTTTTAATTTTTTAAGTGTACAAATCTACAATAATTTGATGAAAACAAATCTTAAATTTGATACAATTCTATTGAAGTTTTTTTAAAACCCCTGTGTGTCCCTTCTTGTAATACTAAGCCGTAAATTCTGCGGAAGTTTCTCAGTTTTGAACTTTTTGGGGAAAAAAGTATAATTATGCACCACATAATTATGTCTGTATTATAAAAATTAAGTAGGTGTTAGTAGGCCTATGTGGACATTGTCATTTTTTGAACAATTATTTACACTATCCCAAACGGCGCCCGTACATTAGACCACTGCAATGTAGTTTTAGTCAAGTCAAATATCACCATTTAATAAGCAGAAATCTAAATTAGAACTATTTCTTAAAACTAAAATCATATATTCATTTAATTATCGAGGTATACTGATGGAGATATTAACATTTTCTCGAGATGAGTTAAAAAAGGAGGGGGTGGGGCGACTCCTGTACAGGTGACAGTTTAAACGACTTGTGGAATCGAATATAACTCCATTGGATGGGAGATTAAAAGTAAGGCGCTATATATACATCGAGAATAATAATATTAATAATAATAATAATAATTATTATTATTATTATTATTATTATTATATTAGTAATTATTATTATTATTATTATTATTTTTTATATTGTTATTATTATTATTATTATCACTATTATTATTATTATTATTATTATTATTATTATTATTATTATTATTATTATTATTATCATCATCATCATCTTTATCATTATTATCATTATTATTTTATTAGTATGATGGTCTTCCATGGTACAGGACAGTGATGATAATTATGATGATCACTATGATGATAATAATAATGATGATCATGATGGTCATGATGACGATACTAAAACTAAACTTTATGGTATGGTAATAAGCATTCCTTTTCAAGTAATGATATACGGAATACAGTTGGTGACGTCATCAGTCGATGTTTTGCACCCTCTGTCGATGTGATTATTCCTATTCTTATTCGTAGCGTTTGTGTTGCATCTAATCCCGGTTGCTTTTTTTTAATTTTGCGTTGTTGCATGGCACAAAAGCCCCTCTACTCTAAACCCCTATTATTACTACTACTACTACTAAACTAATAATATTTCAGAAATCGTTTTTTTCTCCACGAAAAAAAACTCTTATAATTAATAATAATCAGCATAAGTTGATCAAGCAAGGATGCAGTACAATACACAGTTTATATACATTGATAAATGAATAGGAAATCAAATTTTTAAAGATGGGATTCTCCTTCTCAGTTGAATTTTGCCCTCTCTATCGCCGCATATGTCTTACTATTGTCTAAATGAGTAATAATAATGATATATTTTCAAAATAGTTGCAGCCAAGCTAAATTCTTGAGGTCATTATGTTAAGTAGTAGACGTGGCCAAATATAGAAGTCCATTATCGCAGTGCTCGTATCGAACGAGCATCATGCCATTGGCTGGGACAGATGTCCTCTAGGAAAAACGAACGTGCTCAAAAAACAATAGTATATAGGCCTACAGAAAACCTCCATTCTGAAACTTGACAACGGCTTACAACTCACCGAGTCCTGGGGAATCATGTCCGAAGTATGACGTCATCACTATGAACGTTATCATTTTTTATGCATGACGTCAGTGTGGGTAGAGTTCATAACGGTACCAAATGATCCGGGAGCAGTCATACATTATGGACTTTTTACATTGCATAGGCTGCTCCCAGAGCTAATGTTTTTTTATTTTGTTTGTTTTTTGAGAAGACTAGTAGCATAGTCTAGTTGAAAACATGGCAAACAAGTTTTTGATCAATTAAGGGTTGGAAAAGTGTTAAATGATATGGAATCTTATGATTAATCCTATTAATAAATTAATATATCTGATGTTTTTAAAAAATATTTACATTTATGTCACCGTTTTGTAAAAAAAAAATAAAGTAATTCAGCCTTTGGCTGCAAATGTGTTTTTTTATATGTTTTTGTAATAAATACCAAGATATATAATCAGTTGTGTATAGTACTACTACGAATAATTATTTGGGTAAATTCCAAACCAATGATCAAAATTGCACTACAGCATTATATTAAACTTGAACACTGGATAACCGCCCTCCAATTTGATACCTCTTTTGTGGGGATTTCACCCACTTTCATTTACAATTAAAGGCATTTCTCAATGTTAAAACATATTTATATAAGAATATTTAAAAACACATGGTGCACATGCACCCGAAAATAAAGTAAAATGGTGTCAGTCCAAACCAGCCCACTAATACATTCGTTAACATTCGTTTCAAATAAACGCTTCATCCCTCTATTATTATACACCTCTCATTTATTTTTCGTTATACATTTTCTTAATAATTTAAGCCTGAAGGTAATATGCTTATATGTTACTATCATAGACACAATTTCATCTTTTTCAATACTCATATGATTTGAAGATAATTATAACGAAGGAATTACAAATTGTAAGAAATTATTTACCATTATAGAGGGTGACCCTTTCAGCGTATCCTAGTGGGTCGGCTGCTATTCAGGGGCCCTGGGACCCTCTTTAATTAACTGAGTGATGCTTATATCAGCGAATCAGCGAAGTCGGTTAATGATACTTATTGAGTGTAGTTATTGGTTAGTCGTGAGAAAAGTCCTACACTCTTAGGAATTGAACCCAGGACCCAGGGATCAGAAGGCGAGCATCTTAACCACTAAGCTATTAAACTCCATACTGAATATGGACACTAAAGTCTTAAAAATACAGTTTGGCATACTATTTCTGGTGCACACGTACCCGTCCTCTACGGCTCGACTCTAATTCATTATTTTAATAAGATTAAAATATATAACGTATACGAATGGATTTAGTTGTATTCTGATGCAGTCTGGAGTAACAGTTACAGTCGATGTTTACAGAATAATTGTGGACAAAGTTTATCAGCTTGAACTTTGGTGACTTAAGTATTAATAATAATAATAATAATAATAATAATAATAATAATAATAATAATAATAATAATAATAATAATAATAATAATAATAATAATGCACTGTCCACCACGAAAGCTAGTGTCTTGTCAATAAAACTAGTATTTAAATTACTTCATGTCCAGTGTTTCGTTTAATAATAACACTAACAGTAATAAATGACATGGTATATACCTTTACTATCACATATATTCAGTATTTTCTAAGGGTTGCCGAGAATCACCATGCTCTCCTATGGAAATAACAGTAGCAACCAGTGAAAGCACTATGTTGTACTGCACAATGTCAACTAGAAACTCTGAGGCAGCTTGGATACATCAGATAACTACAGACAACGTCGAACGTATGTTGACAGATTTTTGTTGAGAGATTTTTATCCATGTATGCCTCAGCACTTTTTAAAAATAATTCCGAGCTTATGTAATGTTATATATTTATTTATAATAAGCCTCTCATTCGTAGGTCCAATTTAAAAACAGACAGGAGATGTTGGTGTTTTCCATATCTGTATCTACCGATTGAGTGCTTAGCAATAAAAATCAATCTATTGAGGTAATTAAAACGCTTTTCGTTGGTCTGGTATCCAAAACGTATATCATTTATTTTTAACATAATAGATAGCCCACTATTTAGCCATTCAAGTTCAGATACTTCATCCCAAATGTGCTTTATGTGAGGGCAATCAAATACAAAATGAAGAAAAAAGTTTCAATTTCATTCCTTTCCTCACAAAGGTCATTGTCAACTAGACCCATTTTATAGAGATCGCTTCTACAAGGATAAATAATATGCAGCATTTTCCAGTTAGTACTATACACCCTGGGATCATTTTTTAATAGCGATAGGTTTTTCCATATAGCCTCCCACTTCGGGGACTTGAAATTAGGTGTGATCTCGCTATTCAGTCACGAATTAGAAACCTTGAAATAGAGACCACATACTAAATGTGGTCTCCAAACAGCATAATTAAATGGAAACCGAACCTCAAACATCCAAATGAAGACCGAAGCAAAAAGTCACCAAAATACAACACAGGAAAACCATTTTTGTTTCTAAAAAAAAACCCCAAAAAAAACAAAAAAACTGACGTTTGCTGTTAAACGTAACAAATTCACAAATAGGATAAACTTGAAATTACCTGTATAAAAAATTTGAATAAGGTAAGGATGTTGCGGCGTTATTTTATAGGAAATATTTCGTATTCGATAGGTATTTATAATGCGCCACTTGCTTGAAGTTATAAAGCGCACTTCTTTCGGGTACACATGCTTCAACTGTTACTGCTGGCAATCAGCTCAGGAGCAGGCAACCCTGCCAGGTATCCATTAAAACTCATGGGTGTAGAGAAACATTAGAGATAAAGTGCATTACTCAAGGGCTCATTCAAAATGCACAGTGTATTGAAACCCCGACATCGAGTTTGGGAAACCAAACCGTTCCCGCTGCTCCAAAATGCTTCCACACATAGCAGGAAAAAGGGCCACCATACTGAGTTATTTTATGTTAAGAAATGCTTTATGAACCCTATCATGATAATTACAATATAATTTAAAGAACTGACTTGAGATATTGTAATTTGTTAAAAAAAAAATAAGACTCAATTTCAAAGGCGGACTGGGACCTAAATATTTTTTTCGACAGTATAGAGTATATGAATTTTTGGATTTCAAAGCTCTGAACTGCATTTCCGAAGCTGTTTACGGCATTTGCCTTCACGATTTGTTAAAATGTTTGCCCTGGCTATGTTTTTCAGTAATTTTTTAAAAATGAAACTAACTTTGCCCACTCTCTGTGAATCAACTGCTGCACACTACTATACAATGGAAATAAAATTATATTTTCTAAAATGGTCACCACAAGAAGCAAAGCTTTGAAACTTAGATTATAAACCATACAATTATATACGGTACATGAGTATACACAATAGTGGTAAATGTGATAATAATGATGATTATGATGATGATGATGATGGTGATGATGATGGTGATGGCGATGATGATGATTTTGTTGAGCAAAAGAGGTGCTATATAGTTAAACCAAGTATGTATGTGTTAAATTTACCCCATAAATTTCGGGGAATTGCAACTTTAAGCATTCCTTTTCAAGTACTGTCAGAAGCCTGTGACGTCATCAGTCGATGTTTGGCACCCTCTGTCATGGTGATTATTATAGTAGAGATCAGTGCAGACGACTTTTATTGCTGCAATGCAGTATGTTTAAACTTTGTATACTCTTTGCATTTTATTTATCATAATTGAGATTTGAATTCTGTATTATTTGATATTTAATAATTTTTGTTAAATTCCCTGATTTTTATGTTTACGTTTTCGTTACCAATTTCATTTTTCTGTTCACTTTTATTGTTATTAAATTTGTTTGGAGGCACCACTGTATAGTGTGTGCAACTGTTGAAAAAGTAAGAGCCAATAAAAACTGAAACTGAAACTTACCCGGGTGAACCCCTCTGGTAGCTGTAGCGTTATGAGATCCGCCCAAAATGACGTCATGCATAGCTGAGGCAACTTATATATACAGTACGGTAATATTGTCTCAGGTTGTAGGTGTATAATAATAACTGTATATTATGCAATACTATGATTGAAAGCTCGTAGGATTCCTATTTTTATTCATAGCGTTTGTGTTACATCTAATCCTATTTGCGTTTTTGAATTTGCCAGACAACATTAGAGAATCTGACAGATGCTATAGTTCTTTCTTTCGTAACACTGTATTTGACTTAGTATTCAGCCAGGTGGTCTCAAAATATACCATTATACCACAACAAAACATTATTCTGAATAATATCATTGATAAATATAGCATTATCAAACATAAACACTATATAAAAATGGAAATTTAGTTCAGCAATAACTCGTAAAGAGGTCATCTCCAATTTTATAAGTAGCTGAAATCTTTTAAGATAGTCCCCTGAAAACGACAATTCAATTTGAGAATTCAAAAATTGTGTACCAACTTTTTTAATGGATAATAATAAAAATTATAAAACACTTCAAGAGTCACTATCATTTTTCGCTGCAAAGTATTGTTAAACAGTTTTCATATATTGTACACTAATTTCTATGTTCAAGTTGATAACTTTTATGTTGCTTCGAAATGAGCGAGCAAATTTCAAGAATGATTTCTATGATCCTTGCATGGGACTATACATTCTTAATATTTGCTTTAGAGATTCGTAGTTTAATGAACAATACACGTCACCTAGAAAAGTGTTGCAAAAAAAATGGGTCGGATGGTCGAAGTAAATTGTTGGTTTAACACTAAAGGCCGCAAACTTTAACATTAATTTTTTGTGTGTCTAACGTGTCAAGTATGCTTATACAATCCTTTATCTGAACTAATTTTATATATGCTCAATACGGGATTATGACTTTTTATGGTAGGTGTTTTAATGACATATGGTATATTAAAATGTACACTATGGCTTGTTATTACGAATACGATTTGCTGTTAATTCTATTTTAAGGAACTGCACACATGACACCAACAACCAAAACCTCTTTTTTACGTAGGCTTATTTTCAACTTTTTGCCAAAAGGGTGGACAACTGCAAAGGTACATCGGTCCGCCAACAACTTACCTAGACCAGTTGACCTCTGCCGAAATTAGATATATCATAGGCCTATAAAAAAAACCCTGAAAGTAAACATAATGTTTCTCATAATCTTTATTCTTAATCGTGACGTCAACATTTTACTTTCAACTTCAGGTTCTTAGCTTTTTTTCTTACGCTGTCACCCCAAATAAGGCTAAGGGCCACTCAAGGTAAGATAAGATACTGATAAGATTTATTATTATTTTTTTACTACTAATACTACTACTATGCATTGTAAAAACCGTAACAGCCTTCCCGCCATGATAAAGCAGAATGTAACTGACAATTTCATTCTTTCCTCCATGTTTTGAGTAATTAAAGAATAAAAATGTATTAAACAGCTCCTATTCTATTATCACTGTTATCCATTTAGGTCTTTTAAGGTGTACGGTATGCAATTACTCATGCATAAATGGAGGAAGTGGTTGTCAATTTGTATCCTGCCCTGCTTCCTTTTCTGGTGCTTTTTACTGTATTTCTACACTTATACAGGTCTCTTCCTTTTTGTTTTGCTAATTGCTTATTAATTGGTTTGATTTGATACGAAAATTAGTAGTGCTTTGAGACTGAATAAAAATTAGTTTTGGAAAAATAATCAGCTACTTCCTTTAGTCATGATGTGCAACTTGCTGCATGATTAGAAGACATAGTTATAGATATATAGATGCCATTATTGCCTTCAAAAACGTCTTCGAGCCTTCAGGCAAGTGGCACTTTACATGTCAATACTTCCAATAGAATAATTAAACTTTTTATAATATTTTCTTAAATGTACAATACCAGTAGACGTATCTGGACGAACTAGCTCAACATATATATACTAAGCAAAAATTGTAATAATCTATTGCTAACAGTGAATGTAATCCTCAAGTAAATTTGTCGTTAAAGAATACGTCGGGTGCTAGGAATATGATTCATCTGTAACAACGATCACTGGTAGTAGGATAACACGAGGCACTAACTTTACGAGCCCTAATGCTGCGCATGAGAGCAAAACATTTGAGGGATACGTAATCACATCGTTATTATTATATTGAAAGACTGATAATGTTGACCATTTCATATAGAGTTAGCAAAAATATGCTTCTATCATGCGTTAATAAATAGTGACACTACATCAGTTTAGGCAAGCGATGTAGGTATATGTTTTTCCTTGATCTCCAATAGTCCTCTCATTTTCTTCTCCCGTCGTCGTCTGACACGATCGACCAGGTTTATAATCACAAAATCAATCAATTCACAGACGGTGATGGCGCTAGCGCCAAGGAGCAGTCCCATATAACCTCCAATGTCACCTGTAGATGCAAAACACAACACATCGATTCTTAGAATCTTTATTATTACTAATATTATTACTTTATTAAATATTCTTTTTGAGACTATTTGGCCCACAGTGAATAATACATGTAGGCTAGTAGGGCATTTGGTATTTAGGGCTTTAGGTCACACACAATTCTATATCATGAAATATTATATCATGCTAATGAATCATTAAAATAAGCTACCGTACTAAAACATTATTTAATATTTGTACAGAAAACTGACTAGAAGAGGTGCTTCCATACGACCAGATAACACTGATTCTTCGCCAGGAACGATATAAATGACCTTAGGCCTACTATTGCGACATACACTAGTGATTGACAGTGACATATCACGGGCTCGAGTCCCCTCTTACCTCACCCAGATGAATAATTCCGACAACTGTTAAGGAACGTTTTCTTTAGAGATATGCCTGATAGATCAGGTTCGGACGCAAACTTGTTATTAGGTGGGTGCGAATTTGAGGAGGAGAGTGGACCAAAATGGCTGGGGGACGCAGTTCCTGTTGGGGTCGAATGGGCGGAGCGCCCTCGCGCCCAGACATTTCTAATAATTTGAGGTCTTAATTGATTCTTTGAGGTCTTAATCGAATCTAAAGATGCGAAATCAACAGTATTAAACGGTTTTTGAGTGACAGATTCAGGAAATGAAATGAAATGGATAGGGAGGGATTTCACAGATGGAAGTTGATAACACCAGGGGTGGCGCCAGGATTTGCCCGACGGGGGCCGAGGTCCCCGACGCCCCCGACGAGGGGTCAGATTTCCCCGACGAAAGCAAACTGGGCGTGGTCAAGCTTTAATTAAAAGGTTTTCTAAAAATGGTCCAGGGGGATAATCCCCCGAAAAGTTTGACAATTTAGGGGTTTCAAAGGCTTATCTGATAGATTTTAGAGTCCGCTACTAATATGTAGAAAATACACATAATTTCTTTTCTCTCGGACGGGGGGAGGGGGGTGGAGCTCTCCTCGACGGGGCCCTGCCCCCCTCCCCCGCTGGTGCCACCGCTGGATAACCTTAGCCCCAACATGGTTTGGGATGAGAAAATTTATGATTATTTTATTTTTTTAGGAGGGTGACGCACCCGTCTTACCTACACCCAAACCCCTCCCCCCGCGTACGGGCCTACAGATCTTGCGTTTGTTCCTATTTGAGCATTGTTTCTATCATTTACCTCTTCACCGTTTATTGAACTTTACCGATTTGGTTGCATTATATTTGCAATTCTTCTTAACGTACATACGTGGAACAGAAATCAATGTGATTCTCTTGTTTTAAGCATCTGAATCTATTAGACACTATTTTCTTTCAGATGTTCAAGCCGTTTGTCCAGTGTGAAAAATGGCCAAAGAGCACATTAGAGAACGCAGGACACTCTTCGGAAAAGATAGGGGATTGTCTCTCATTGTACTAGACAAAATAAGACGTTCATAGTTTATGATAAATTATTGTTAAAACCAGGAAACAGTGAAATTACATGGAAACATCTCGAAACGAACATCAAATGTTATAACCCGCAGTACCGCCGCTCTTATCATAATCAACTGATAAACAATTTACAACCAATTAAAATTGCTTTGCGAATGCTCGCTATTGTGTTCTCATGGTGATCGACGTCGTATATACCATATAATCATACCAACAGTTAAATTATATGGGGTGCCATACGCAGCAAAAGTCCTATGTTAAAATCAAAATGTAATTGCAAAATTCAATGTCTAATTTATTAAAACGTAGGCGTAAATTTCTCAAAATCAGTTTCCCAAAATGAAGTTCTAATTTTTCAAAACGTAGTTCAAATTTTCCAAAATGTAGTTCTAACTTCTTTAAAATGTAATTCAAATTCATAACGTAGGTCTGAATTGATCAAACGCCCTCTTCAAATTCTATTCCAAAACGTAAATCAAAAACCAGGCTGGCTTGAAATGCATTTTACAACATTAGACATGGACTTTTGCTGCGTATGGCACAAAGACTTGCGAAATGTAAATCAAAACAAGTCAGCCAAGCGTGACGTGGGCCTGTTTCATTAATGATGGAGGAATCATTTTTCCGCTGCAGTCCAATGCCGTGAAGAACGCTTCCCAGTGCGTCTGCTAATTTTTAATGATCAGGGTACTGCGATCACGAGCCCATGCTAGGCATTACAGGGTAGGCTTTGTGGGCTGAGATTTGCAACAAGGTCTTGGACTAGGCCTCTAGGAGGCCTGGTCCTAGTTTAGGCCTATAATATACGGTAGTAAAATTCTGTATAAGTAGTCATATGATTAGCCTACAGTTTTACATTGTACCAAGATCGATATTAACGATCGCATTGAAAATAAAAAGAAAACTTTAAATAATTAACTTAAGGATTTTAAAATATTCCAAACTTTTACGCTTAAAAAAAAAAATAAATAAATAAATAAAGTAATAACTTAAAACACAAACAACGCGATAGAATATAAAGTTTGAGAGAATAATTGGTATGATTCGCTATTATGTTGCTGTTATACGTCCCGTTTTAGAATACGCAACTCCAGTTTGGGGAACTTGTATCACTGACACAGAGTAAACAGCTTGAACAAATCCAAAGTTGAGCTTTAGGGTTCAGCTACGAATGTGCAAGGTCTTTTTTAAAATATCCCTTTACTGTCAAAGAGGCGCACCCGGTTGTGCAGGGACTATTTCCAGAAGCTCAAATTGTCAACGCATAGGCTAATCATCTTTTGCCTAAAGCTAGGGAGACACATTACAACCTAAGGTAGAATAAAAACATAGCGTTCAAAGAATTTTATGACAAATGCTGGTTTTTTTCAATAACTGGTAAGTCGTCCCTGTACACCCGGGCCCTCCTCTCTGGCGAGGTCATGTTTAGATAAGTTATTCCTTTTATTTTCCGCGAGTCGATTTTTCGTTGGTTTAGGTGTCAGTCCGAATTGTTTTATTGATACCCTGTTGTAAATTGTAAATAAAATGTCATATAACTTTTAATTAATTAGCGAATTATTTATTTTTGTACTTGAATTCTTAACTTAATTAAATTGCCTTATTGTAGGTTTATTTAGGTTTTTTATGTGTTTGTGGTGTGTTTGTTATGTGCAATGTTGCTCTTCCCTTTTGTTAAACTTCAATTTTGATTTGACTTAGGGGCCTATTCTGTAATGTTAATGAGAGATTGCAATAAAGTTCTTCGTATTTCGTATTTCTGAAGTTACACCGTTGTACATTGAAAAGTTAAATGTTTTTTAAACTGCTGATTTAATATTGAATCACACCACAGGAAACTAAATGCGTGACTGAAAATAACCTCCAGCCCAGACGCTTATTTATGTATTACGATTACAGTACCTAATGTGTAAAAAATAATGAAACTGCAAAACAACTGACGACACGGCGCGGGACGTCGTCATATCGGACGACACAATTTTATGGAGAACGCAACGCCACAACGTTTCTAATGACAATCCGTTCATACTGCCTCCGACAACCAGCAGACGGCGTCAAGTCAGCTAGCGCTCACAGGGAGCATAGGCCTTGGTCGGTGGGGGACAGAGGACACGTTCCCTCCCGTACTTTTTACCAATCTTCTGTAGTTAAAGCCCCACTTTTCAAAGAGAGTGGAAAGAACAAGTAGGCCTACGAATGACTGTATTTCCGGACCAATACTACGTAAAAACGCAAATGTTTGTACATTTTGTCACCACCTCAGTAACCATCGATTTTATATATGCAACGGTCATCAGAGGCTAAATTTATTATTAAAACAATGTACTGTACGTTGTTAAAATTGGAAGCTTTTAAACCTATTACGCCAACATTTTTACGAACTCAAAAGTTACAATTTTAACGATTTATTAATTTTGTATATTATTAAGGCCCATATACTAGAGTTCAATATTATGTGCATACATAGATTTCTGTTTTTCCTAATTTCAAAAAAAAAATTATAGTTAGTCAATTGAATTTTATATATCCGTTATTAAACAATAATTATACCTCCTTTTACACAGATAGGTCTGTCTATTTCGACTTATTAAGTAGCGATACGACAAGTTTATTAACTCCGATGTTACTTGACGAAATTTTGCCATGGCATTATGCAAGGGTAGATCCATTGAGTGGCTAAGGGGCCCCGTGCTTTCTTCCGTCAGTCCCGGAAAAAGTGAAAAAAGTGTACCCATGAGTTAAGTGGCGGTCACTGCAGTGGGCGAATGGGCAGCTCGATTATTTTACCCCTCACTAATTTTGAATTTTCTAAATTTTCATAGATTTCATAAACTAGGATGTAAAAATCCAGGCACCTAGAGGTGCCATAATTATAATTTCCTTTGCGACTCCCAGTATAAAATAGACTATAGGTCCATATAAGTCATTTGCGACTCCCTTTAGGTAAGGGGTGTCTAAGGGAGGGGAGCAGATCTCCTGTCGGGAAAAGTCAATAATTTTGTAGAGGACACTGCTTTAATAAAACATTTTTACCATCTGAGAGTGCCATTTCCGAGCGTCTAGATAGGCATATTCTTTTAAATTTGCTCACCTCAGCCCCCAAAATGGTGGCGCTGAGGTGGGCGTGTTGACCTATTGCGTCCCCTCTCCCCCCTCTGTCAGATAATGTCTGGATCCGCCCCTTTCGTGATAATGATACATTAAGTAAATCACTTTTTATGTTTGTGAAATAAAAATCCTAACTAATACTGTGTGTGCTTCTTATCGCCTTAGTCCTGTTTGTTTTAAATTTATCCATGAAGGAACTTGGTTTATCATTTGTTTTTCATGGTTCGAATACGTCACGCGCTAATCAGTAGATAATAAATTATTATTTATTAATGTTAGTTTGTTCGGGCCACCCTCCTTTTTTAAAATTAAAAAGTGAAGAAAAAAGAAAATTACATTTAAATTTAAGTCTGAGAGTGCCGTTTCCTGCCAACTAGAGGTGCCATAATCATAAATTTTCTTATCTCAATCCCAACCATGATGGGGCTGAGGACGTGGTCTACACTCCATCTGTAAAAGTCCCTCCCTGGACCCCCTCTATTTGGAATTCCTGGACCCGCCACTGTATTTTGTAATGTAGTGTGGAAATTGCTTATAAAAGGCTATAGACGCCAGACCTTCCGGGGCATCTTCATAACATAATAATGAGTAATTATAATATAGATTATTATTCCAAAAATCTTTTTATTTTCCAGAGATTAGAATTAATGGCACTCCACGTGACTATTGATAGCGCAAATTAAGATTCCATGACCTTGGCATGACAACTGAGCAGAATCTTAACTCCATACTTTGCAGAGTTGATGCGTCGTACGCAGCGACCTGTCTGATCTCCTCAAAGCTCAGTTCTTCGAAGTAAATCACAAGATCTAAATAATTCTTCCTGAAAAAGAAGATTTAGTATTTAATTTTGAGGTTAAAACAGGATATCTAGTTTGATTTAAGATTTTAAATTAAGTAAATCAAAGTTGGCATAATATTATCTAAACTCTAAAGCCACATCCGTGAATTTAAATGTTCATGGCCGGGTGAATTATGTTTTTCTCACGGAATCCCATGCCTCAGTTGCTAAGTGAAGCCAACTAAACACAAACATAACATCTTCAGCATGAACATTCATAAGGCCATTAATAGTTTGCCATTTCTATATAATCGTTATAGGCATATGCTATATTATCATTTTAATATTATCATCATCATTCAGGAAATTAAGACGTTTTAATATTATACTTTCCTATTAGCTTCATTGATTTAATTTCAAACACTGTTATTATTATTACAATTTTACCAATATAGAACACGGCACGCTATCCACTTAACGTAAAAAAATATTATTAACCACTTAGGACTAAAGTCGTCAAATATAATAGGAATTACCGAAACCCAAGTTGCCGAATATCAAATTGTTAACTTAACTTAACTTGTTAAAAAAAATGTGAATTCCAGTGTTCCGAAACCCATTTTGCCGAATTCGAATCAAAAAGCCACAGTACTCTCCTACTCGCATTTCTTTCATTTTATAAGTCAAGCTTACCTAGGCCTATCCACATCTCTATTTTATTACTATCAAGTTCAAGGACTTTTCTAGCAACCACCCAAACTTCTTATAAACACTGCCCAACCCTTTTTCATTTTATCCCTTTCATAGATACGTTCTTTTTCCCCCCTTTTTTTATACTTTCTGATCTTTACTCCTGAGTCCAATGCCTGGATCGTCTGTTCTAATTAATGCCTTCCCACGTTGTTGTCACACGTTTATACTGGTAATTTCATTAACATTTTTATCCTGATAATTGCATTAAAATTGTATTGATTCGCTGTTCTACTATTTGGAATGATTTAAATGCTTATTTGTTGTATATAATTATAAGAGTGAAGTTTTTAAACCATAAAATATCTTTATTTCACCGTCTTCTGTCAGCGGGGTCTTCCTTTAAACTTAAATATCTTAATGCTCAAATTTTTTCATAATATGATACAAGCATTGAGATCGCGTTGATAATTATTTTGTATACATTGGTTTATAATTTTATTTACAGATTAAAGTAATAAATGCATCAATTATGACTATTATTATTATCAATTCTTCTCTATAATTAAATAAACTTAAAAAATAAAATTGAAAAATAAAATTCCAGCAATAATATCAAATTATTATAAATATTGTTTTTATATTCTGGCTAAGAAAATATTCAGAAAATGTATTATATATTTAGATTTAATGAAAAAGTAAGTTGTTGTTTGTTTAGTGAACACAGTTGAATTGGATAAACTTTGTACACAAACATTAAGAATAATGCAAAATAATAAAATTTAACATGCAACCTTCATTTTAACAAGGGCGAAAACTCGATTCTGATTGGTTGGCTGTTTCAAAAACGTCACTATCTAGCGTATCACAGACTATCTTTGCAGTTATGCCCTTCTGCCTTGGGAATGTACTGAAAATTGTGTAGCTAATCCCTTTTGCTTTGCTCAAATGTAGCCCATGGACACTTTTTACAATTTGTTTTTTGTAACAACATGTGTTCTATGATGTACCGACCCAACGGGCTATATATCTCAATTTTGCCCAAAGATGTAAATTATGCACATTTGCCATAGGTGGGGGAGGGGGGCAGCATTTACACACATAGACATCATAGCGTTTGAACGTTCCTGCAACGTTCCTGCAACGTTGTTGTTTTTATAACGTTAGCATGTTAGCGAGCGTCGCTTGAAATGTTTCGAAAGTGGTCCAGCGGGCAGGCCCCCAGAATTTTGGCAAATTAGGGGTTTGAAAGGCTTATTAATCGATTTTAGAGTCTACTAATATGTAGAAAATACATATAATTATTTTTTTCTCCTCGACAAATTGTGGTTTTTCTCTCGGACTGGAAGCCAGTTCTCCCCGACGGGGGCCCTGACCCCGGCCCCTCCACCGCTGGCGCCACTCCTGCTGAAAATAAAATGTTTTTTTTTCTTTCGTAGGAATTTTACCCACCTTTATTTCTATCTCTTTTTGTTACATTTTGATTTTTTTTTCTGTCATCAATGACATAAAATATACGGTAAAAATTGAAACTCAATTGCACTTAAAAAGGACCAGTCCACAAAGCTTGACTGTAATTTTTTGACAGCATCTTTTAAACTTTTATTAATTTATAAAAAAATACATTAATATATATTTTTTTTCTTTTAGGTTAAATATTGTTGAATAAGTAAATATATAAATTCCACAATAGCATCGTCTTCTGTCTCATTCTACAACTTCCACATTCTTATATCATCATCATTCTCACTCTCATCATTCTCATCCTCTTGCATGCACATCATCCTCCTTCTCATTCACATCCTCACTTTTTTTTAATTGCATATTACCCTTAATAATACAATAGAATACAATATTCCACCTCATCATTACCAACCAACTCTCATTTTAATCATCAATCTCATAAACCTTATCCTCTTTCTTATTCTCAAATTATTCTCATCATCATCGATCATTGTCACCTTTTAGTTGTGAATTTAAATCGTATGAGTTATTCCAGTAAATAAACATAAACAATTGCACCTACCTGATGTGTTCCTCTGTTTGATTAAGTGTCACCTGTAATTCTTTAGTGATATGCTGAGCTGGCCAGAATGCGCTGGACACCCTGGATTGATACACTTCACGTAGACATGGTATCGGGCAATTACACACCAACCCCTCTCTCGTATAGTTTGCTGTTTAAAGAAGAACTAAGGTATGATAATTAAAGATAATGG